TTCTTGATCACGAGCTTTTTATCAAAGGAGGTATTTCCGCTCTTAATGTAATATATTTTTGTTAATGATGTTAATACGAGTGATCATGCTCAGAAGACTTTTCTATGGGATTTTGCGAGGAATGCTTGGGTTATGAATAAAGAATCAAATGGTTTCAATTCTTTGTTTTTTGTTTTGAACACTGTTTTTTTTTTTTTTAGAATACTAATTACATCGTTTTTACATATATTTATCTATGCAGAAGATAGTGACTCTGATGATACTGAGGTTTTATCGGGTCGTGGTACTGATGATGATTATGGTTTTGAGGATTATATGGGGTCTGATTCAGAGACGAATGAAGATACTGATGATATGGACCAAACAGATGAGTATGATTCTGAGGATGATTTTATTGACGACGATGAGACTTGTGAAGAATCTGATGGTTCAAGTGATAGCTCAGAAGATGATAGCGGTGATGACGAAGATGAAGATGATGACGATGCCGATTCAACTGATGATAATGAAAATGATGATGAAGATGTTATGTTGGATGATGAGACTGATATTGACGATGATAGTGAAGATCAGCGAAACGTCGAACTGAGTGATATACTCATCGAAAAGAATATTAGTATATCTGGACACCAGGATTCGGTGTGTACTTATACAGTTTCTCTTGGTTCAATGTGTTTTGGTAGGTGTGTTTCACGTTTGAGTCCTTCCAAAGATGATTGTACTATCTTTGTTAAGGTTTTACAAACGTGGGTGCATATGCTAATTTCGAAACGTTCTTCTATGGAGCTCATATTGTCAGATGAACAGGTATTTATTGTACTATTACACAAAAGTATTCTAAATTTTTGTCGGTGTCTAATTGACTGTTTTATTCACAGGGTGTAAAAAATCAGGCCACTGTTAGTGATGGTGAGATCAGTGTTGCATCGTCTCGCATAGATGTTGGTAGTTGGATTATTATCAGTCGTTTTTCTGTTACTGATTGTGAGGATAGTTGTAGACCGACTTCTCATAGATACAAAATATTGTTCCTACCATCAACTATCATTGACAAGACTTCACGTAGATGTGAAAATGCCTATTTTGACTTCGTTGATTTTCAAAGGATATTGGATCATGCCCATGATGATGACTATTTAGTTGGTGTGTTTATTTTTGATTTAGTTATTGAATTTCTTTATTTTTATCTTACTGATGTTAACATTGTTTAATTTTTGTTGTCTATGAAGATTTGATAGGTCGTGTCTTAAATGTAAGACTATCTGGAACGTCCTGTGGTTTTCTGACTGGAGAGCATTCTTTTCCTTCATATGGCAGTCTATGTAATGATATATGTGATTCCGAGATATGGGGTTCATATTCAACCGTCACGTTCTGTCTTAGAGATAAACGGTACTGTCTGCTGAATGTTTTAAACTGTATAATGTCGTTTTAATTATTCTATCCATCTGAATATGTGTGGCATGTTTTAATTTAGTGGTGTTGATTTGAGTTGTGAATTGTTCGGTGAGATGGCGAAAAACTTTTATGCATCTTGGAGACGATGTGATCAAGATATCATTGTGTGTGTGCTTAGATGGGCCGTTATTGATTATTTTGGAGGTATTTTTAGTATACTAATTTATATTCTCTATGTTCGTTTCGTTTTATTGTTTTAACTCTGTATTTGGTTTATCAATATAGGCAAGATCACTATATCTTCCACATCTCCTACTAAGTTCGAACTCAATCCCCGTATTCTGACTTAGATGAGTTTTTGGAACAGTGAGTTTCTAATACTTAATGTTTGTATTTTGACTTTTTGGTATTAATTCGTGGTCGCCTTCTCTCTCTCAAATCTTTTTTATAACAATGCAGATATCCGCGTAAAAGGCCATGCACGCGTGGTAGTGTGGCACGTCTACAGTGAATAATGTTATGACGTCTACATTGAATATCATTTAAAAAAAATGATTTACCATGTATACAAATTATAGTTTAATTATTCTTTGTTCTTCAGACCTCTTTATTTCAATCAATAAATATATTTTTTTAATGAAATTATTATTGTTGTTTGATATTGAATTATAGAGAGCGGAGAAAATAATATACGTTATATATTCACATAAATAACGCATGTTTTTATTGGTTTCTTGGACTCCAAGTAACTCATATTTATAAATATTTAAGAAGATTCGAATATATCCCCGATCATATCATAACTTTTAGTTTTTTCCATTTAATGTCTATGAGAATCATGGTATTTAAATGGATTGTTTTATTGATTTCCTGGACTCCAAGTAACTCATATTTATAAATATCTAATAGGATTCAAATATATCCCCGATCATTCCATAACTTTTGTTTTTTTTTCCATTTAGTAGCTATGAAAATCATGGTGTTTGAATGAATTGATTAATTATTTATTAAAAAGGAAAAACTCGGTAGTTGAGAGGTGTATAAAATGTAAATAAAGGAAAACATTATAAGAAACCCTAGAAAAAAATAAACAACGTGTAAACCACATAATTCTTATATCTCTATATATATGCATATATTTCGGTATAGGTATATATATGCGTCTATCGCGACTTCACGGGTTATCAGTCTGCATTGTTAGAATTGTTTGCATTCGGGTTCTTCGATGAAAGCGTTTGGTAAATGAGTTTTGTATTACGTTTTTGAGGACGTCACTAATCGTTAGTTTTCTTTACGGTATTTTATTGATTGTTGTTATTGTATATATGATTGTTGTTCTATTGTACATGTCTAGGTGCTCACAGGCGACCACGTGTTAATTGGCAAGTTATGCCGTTTCATCTCCCGGGGAAAAATATTGTGTTTTCTAATAATTTAGATAGACGTGTTGCTGCTAGAAAACCTAAATTCTTTGCTTGGTTTAGGTGTAATCAGTCTTATCCAGAGGCGAGGAATCTTTTATACTCGGAGATTCCTTCTATGTTTGTATGGGATCGTAAAAATAGGACATAAAGGCCAAGACTAAAAGGAAATTCTGGTGCTTGTGTTGTGGACGAATCGCCGACTGAGTATGGAGAAGAGTATTATCTGAGACTATTATTGGACATAGTTAGGGGTCCATGTAGTTTTGATGATATTAGGACTGTTGGTGGAGTCGTTTATCCTTCGTTTAGAAGTGCATACCATGCATTAGGGTTTGTTGGTTGATTATCAGAAGTCAGTAATTTTTTACCATGTTTTTTTTTTAGTTTCTTTATCGTGGTATACTTATTTCTTATTTTAACAAAAGCAATATATAATAAATGATATTAGAATAATTATATATATCAGTTTTGTTATAATAATAAAGTTTAATTATAACATATTATTATTCGGCTTTTCCGTAACCTTATCGTTGCTTATATTTTATCAAAATAAAATAAAATAACTATATATGATACGCTGTATATATAGAGTTGTTTATCATTCTTTTGGTGTTTTGCAAACTGCAAACTTCGGTCGGTGTATTTGTGATGGATAACTCATATCGTTGCTTTTCTTTTACCGAGTTCGAGTATATAATAGATGGATCCTGCGACGTTAACAGTTGTGTGGGTAAGCTGTGTGTATTACGTATATTCTTGTGATATGACACATACTATGTTTTGTAAGTTATAAATCGCTATAGTGTTGACTTGCCTTTTTATGTTTTTACCGTTAAGATCTAATTGGACGTGTTATGACTGTTGGAAACTACGTTGATCCACAATATCCTTTTGAAAGCTACATGATGAACGAGATATATATCGAAATGGAGAATCAGAGGTATTGTGTATTATCATACAGTTTAGAATTCAGAGCTACTTATTTACAACCAATTTTCCGCTGATTGTTTTATTTTATAATTATTAGAGTATGTCGTCTACCATGTCGTTTGGTTGGTAATTTTGGTCGAGATTTTCTCGATGGTTTGACGCATTGTGATGATGATATGATAATATGTATCGTTCTGGCTGCAAAAGTTGATATCATTCGAGGTATTCTAAGGCTGGAATTTATGATACTCTCTCGAATATATATATAACTATATAAAAACTATAAGTGTTTGTTAAGTTATTAATTATTTCGATTTTTTTTTGTGATATTAAGGTAATTGGATGGCTATAGCGGCTCCTAATTATACACGGATAATGTTGGCACCAGCTATTCCTGAAGTAGTACGTCTCCGAGAGGCATTGGTGTCAACCGATCAATATTGATTTCCATTCCACGAATACATAAATCTTGGAATAACAGCCTATGAATTTTTTTATATCGTGTAAAACTACATTGCAGTTTTTTAGTTTGTTATTTTCCATTTTCTTCTCATATGAATTATCTTATATATCTCTGCGTGTGTGCGCGATTTTTACAATATATTATAGTAATTGTTCATTTTATATTTAAACTAATAATTGTTTTTTAATGCGATATGTTATTTAAGAATTATAAATGTTATATACAAAGGATAAATTATACAAATGATATACCGTAAAAATATTTTGATTGATCGCATTTTATCTAATTTATTGTTACACTTAATTATTGATATGTATTATCGTTTTTAGTAACTTAAACACATCGTTTAGGAACTTAAATTGTTTTTCTAAATCGCTACTTATTTATCTATTAAATATATTTTCTACTTTGTATATACAATTGCTGTAATGTTTGCCATTTTTTAAATTGAATTTAATTTCATTATGTTAATTTTCCGTTAAAGTATATCTAAATCGATATTATCTGAGTATTATTTTATTATTTTATAAAGAGAATTAGAAGATTTTATCGTTTTTAACATTTTTAAATAAAAAAATAGAAGATTTGATCGTCTTTACCTTTTGTTGCGATATATGTATATTCTAAAAAAGTTGTAAATCATATCCGAACTAATTCTAATTTACATATATATATATATATATATATATATATCATTTCTCCTACTATATATATATAGATACCCATTCTTTGTCTTGATCTCTCCCAATATTTTCTCTTTGTTATAATATCGTCTGGTCTAAACTATGTCGATTTTTAAAAGAAAATCAGCATCTAATGTTTTCGTTAGGGATCTACGTCCTGGCTCTAATAACTTTGTTATCAAAGTTAATATCCTCAAGATTTGGGATGGATTCAAAGGTAGAGGGGGGTGTTCACTTGAGATGGTCTTGGTTGACCAAGAGGTTAGTCCTATAATTTATGAATATCTCGGTTAGCCAATTATTTGTTGGTTAATTTTTTTTTTATTGTCCTTTGGATCTTAGGGTGATAGGATACAAGCAACTGTTGAAAGGTTTTTCGCTAAATCTTTTCGTAAAGATTTGATCGAGGGGAGATCGGTGCTTATCAATACTTTTAAGGTTGTTGAGTATAATTCTGAGTATCGAACTACACGAACGCCTTTCAAGATAGTGTTCTATGCAACTACGACTGTCTCTGTATGCTTGGATTTTCCTCAAGACGTTCCTGAGAAATATATGAAAAGTTTTCCAGATATTTTATCAACTGATTTGGACAATGGCTACTTGATCGGTAACATATCTAAACTGAGACGCATATTTTTAAAAATATTTTTATGACACGGTATTTTTTATGACACGGTAATTGTTTTGGTTCTTTCGTTTCGTCCTATTTTATTACAAACGCTAAGACGTGGTCGGACAAATCGTAAGAGTTGGTCATGTTGAGGACGTTATGGCTCAAGGAAAACGTCGTTCTAGACTTAAGATTTATCTTAGGGATGAGAGGTAACATGCTTAGTTCTAATTTAATAATTTATTTTATTTTGTGTTATTTTTTAGTTATATGATTTAACTCATGATTATTTATTAATTATAACAGCGATCTACAATTACCATGTACTCTTTGGGCTGATTACGCAAAAGAAGTTGCTGATTATGTTAAACGAAATTGCGCATCCGTCGTTGTGGTTATTATAAGGCTTGCGTGTATCAAAACTATCGAGGTATATTACTTAATGATTTATACTGATTCAATTTTAGTGACGATTACGAAGAGTTTTATCATAGATTATATATATTTCTGATACATCGATTTATTTACACTTTTTAGGTGAGATGAGCGTCTCAAATGCTTTTAATACAACTCAGATTTTGTTTGATCCAGTTTGTCCTCTTGTGGCGAAATTCCGATCTGAGTAAGGATTTATTCAATGGAATTATAATACGGTTTTATTTGTACGTATGTTCGTTCTACTATAATTAGTTTCTTTTTTTTTTCCGTTTAGGTGGCCTCAAGATAAGTATATTCTCATTCCTAATGAAGATGATTCGGGTGTAGATTCTAAAGATTCATTAAACAATGAATTTTTGGGAAATAATATTAGGCAAAAGTTAAGTTCTATACATTCGATCGATACGGTATGTGATTATGCGATACTCTATTATTTATGTTTATAAAAAAATTTTGTATATCGGTGGTTGTCGTTGATTATCTCGACTAAGCAGGTTGGTAAGTATGTGACATTGGCGACTATACGCTCGGTTGCCAATAGTAATTCGTGGTATTACATAGCATGCAAGAAGTGTGAAAAAAGGTTCATCCTATACCCGAGAGAGACCATGCTCCTTCGCCGCCGTCTTGGAAATGCATTAATTGCAATAGTAATGTTTATGAGTCTGAAGTTGTTGCTAGGTAGTCAATCTCTATTCTTTGATTTCGGCGTCCACATACTTTCTAATCTTTACGTCTTATATTTTTTATATTTATAAAATTAATTGTCTAATTATTCTTTTATAGTTTCTTTCTGTTGTTGAACGTGGACGATGGTTTTGGAGGGACGGCAGTCTTTGTCGTGTTTGACAAAATTGCTCAAAAATTGTTTAAGAAGACTGCCGAGGAAGTTTTCGAAGAGTCTGTTGGGGTACACTTATCGTTTTATTTGATAAGCGTTATGATTATATACCTCAATTAAAATATTTTTGTAATATATTTTGTAGGATAATTCGTCTGGACTGCCTCAATATAGAAAATTATATTAGCTACAATTAATATGAATATAAATCGATGTATGGTTGGTCGATAGAATGAGAAATAACCTCCATATCGACACATCTCCCAAAATCTCAATACACAGAAAACGATTTTGCGACGAGGAGTATTTTTCCATAAGGACTCAAAATGTTCAGCATCTCTTCCCCACGCTATGCAATTGATGTCGACACCCCTAAAAAACAGAATTAATATATCATTTTCCTTAACATAGAGAATATGATAGTAAAGATTTATATATGTATTAGTCTTTGTATCAATGGATTCTTACTCAAAATCTCTTATTGTAAATTTTAGAACACTTGAGTTGATTCTCTGATTTCCGATCCAAAATTGGTCTTGACGTTCCAATTGACAAACTTTGATAATACCTCCGATCAAATCAACTAGCATAAAGCAATATATTCATATAATTAAATAGAGTATTAATTAATCTAATTGAGTATAATTAAATACTAAGAAAACATACCAACGTCTATGTTTTCCATCAAAGATTCGTCAAGGACATTTCTAAAATTAGCAAATGAATACAACTGGTCATCTGATTTAGGCGATGTCTTCTCAACATGAGTATCCTCATCGATACAGATATGGAGACCATTGACTGTAATCCTCGAAGTTCCTATGTGTGGAGTAATTTTGAAGTTACCAATGAAATACCAATCTTTATCACACATCATGCCTTCATAATAGTCTACTAAACGATTCGGAATCGATGCACGTATTCGATCACCCTAGATTTTCAGTTAAAAAATAATGATGGTATTGATAATATATCAAGATTCAGACAGTAATATATTAAGATTCAGACAATATGTTATTTTTGAAGTTATACTTACATGTTCGTCTGCGAATATAAACGATCGCTGAATACCGTGAACACCTAGGCTTTCCTCGACACTCTTGATAACTTGAACACAGATAGAAGATCGATCAGATGCTACACCTAAATCAGAAATCATCGTGCAAGGAGACATTTTTTTCAAAGATAGATCAGTTATTCTTAACAATGAATAAAATCTGATTATGAGTAACAAATGGGTACTACTTTAAATTGAAAACCACCGTTACGACAACCAATAGTAGTGTTTGCAATGTTTTGAAAAATAACAGTCATATTTACCATCGCTAATTTAGTTGACTATATATGTCATGTTTTGTTATAATTATAATATAATAATTATGAAAATCAAAAATAGAAAGAACCTCATCAGAATCATTACTAGGTGATAAAATGACATATAATTGTGATGATTATTAATATTTATTTTATTGTGATAATAATTGTGATACTAGCTTTTTTAGAGGCTTAGACATAGAAATTTTTTTTCTGAAGGAATATTTATTAGATCTTATTTCGTTTATTATATAAAGTACAAATTTTTCTATATTTGATTAATATTAATGGTATAATTTCATTTTATTATTGTACATAAGTGTTGTTCATCTTAAAAAATGATATATACCGAAATTTTGGCAAAAAATATTATACAATTTAACTATTACAAACTCAAATATAAAAATATTACACGATTTCTTAAATATATAAAGCCCGTGTTTGGCAAGAATTGAAAATAAAAATATGATGTTTCAATAATCAAATTATAATAAGGTTTATATAATGATTGTGTCCGCGCGATGCGGATAGATACCTAGTTTTTATAATAACGGTCTTTTTCGATTAATAAAATGATTGGGTTAGAATTATGTTTTTATGATCGTGGTTATAATATAGTAGAAAAAACTAAAAAATAAATTATATCTAAACACAAAAATAAATCTTTGTTATTTATTAAAAAATTATATCTATAAAGAAAACATAAATAATATCATAAATTTTGATTAAAAAAAATTCCCCTGCGGATGCACGGGGTAAAATCTAGTTTGATATTTATTTTGACAATCAAAATAGAAATCTATGCGTAAATGTTTTTTTATTCAATTTTCAAATATTAGAAAAAATAGTAAATATAGTTGACCTCTCTCCTTCCTCGCACCATCCTTGACATTGTCTTGTGTAGAAAGCCTCTATGATTCTTACTTCTTAGACTATTTTGACCAGTCCTCCTCCTACTCTGCATTTTCGATCGGAGAATCCAAGAATGGAGCCAGATCTTCACGACCACCAGCAGCAACAGCGAGTCCACGGCGTAGTTATAATCACTCTCCCACCGTCCGATAATCCTTCCAAAGGCAAAACAATCTCTGCTTTCACCCTCACTGACCACGATTACCCACCTGATATCCGCCCCGAGGACGAGCGAAACCCGAGTTTTCAACCCGACCCGCTTCACCAAAACCCGCAATCCGGACTTTGGTTCTCGGATCTCTCCATGAGCTCGCCGAGACTAGTGCTGGGTCTTCTCGGAATCTCGCTTCTCGCGATTGCTTTCTACGGCTCTGTTTTCCCAAACTCTGTTCAGCTGTTTAGGGTTTCTGATGAGAGGGACCGTGATGAGGATAATCGCCGTGAAACGGCGTCGTTTGTGTTCCCTGTGTACCACAAATTGAGAGCTCGAGAAATTCCTGAGCGTAATTTGGCGGAAGCTTTGGATGTAGTAAAGGAAGAGAATGGAATCTTTGTGGAATCAATTGAACAAGAGCTGGTCAACCCTGTAAAAGTCAACGATGTTTTTTCTGCAAGCGTTGGTTCTTTGGACTCCTCCACCACCATTTTTCCCGTCGGTGGATATGTGTATCCAGATGGGTATGGCATTGCATGTTACATACAAACCTTAAAACTGAATTTTTTAGTTCCTTAAAGCACAAGGAAACAAAGCTTTGTCTTTTTGTCTCTTTGTTGTTGCAGGCTCTATTTCACACGGGTTTTTGTTGGAAACCCTGAAAAAGATGGACATTACTTTCATCTTGATATCGATACTGGAAGTGACTTGACTTGGATCCAATGTGATGCTCCTTGTACTAGTTGCGCTAAGGTAATGTATAAGGATCCTGTTTTTTGAGCTTTTAGGAGAATTTTCTTTGGTGAAAACCGGTGATGAACATTATATGTTTTGGTTGGATTTAGGGAGCAAATCAACTATACAAGCCACGAAAAGATAAGTTAGTTGGATCTGCAGAACACTTATGTGTAGAAGTGCAAAAGAATCAAATGACAGAACTTTGTGAGAGTTGTCAACAATGTGACTACGAGATTGAGTATGCTGATCTTAGCTCTTCCCTTGGAGTTCTCACCAAAGATGAGTTTCATCTCAAACTCCACAACGGATCACTTGCCGCGTCTGATATAGTTTTCGGGTAACCATCACTCACGTTAACAATTTGTGATTTTGTTACAGAATATCTGAGTGTTTGTTGTGACTTTTGCTTTTTGGAACCTTGACTTGTGATTATTATAGAGTTTATGTTTTCCTGTGTATGAATGTGACTTTTGCTTAATTCAAGGTGTGGATATGATCAGCAAGGCCTACTGTTGAACACTCTGCTGAAGAAAGATGGGATCCTCGGTCTGAGCAGAGCTAAAATTAGCTTGCCTTCTCAACTTGCAAGCCAAGGTATCATCAGCAATGTGGTTGGCCATTGCCTTCCCTCTGATCTAAACGGTGAAGGGTATATCTTCATGGGCAGTGATTTGGTTCCATTACACGGCATGACATGGGTTCCTATGTTTCACCATTCTCACTTGTAAGTGCACACAGTAATCGAAAACGTCAAATAATGGTGAATTCCCAAAATGTTTAGAATCGCCTATCTTGCATGCTTGTTTGAATTTTTTTGGTATATTCCCAAAATGTTTCAATCTTGGTCACTTACATATTCAAATAAAATTTACATTTTCCTATTCTTCTAGGGAAGTTCATCAGATGCAAGTTACAAAAGTGAGCTACGGGAATGGTATGCTTAGCTTAAGTGGCGAAAATGGGAGAATAGGGAAAGTCTTATTTGACACAGGAAGCTCGTATACATACTTCCCTAAGAAGGCTTACTCCCAATTGGTCACATCAGTAAGTAATCACAATCTTTTTCTTAGAAGGAAATCTTCTTCTGGTCAATGATGTCTTATGATCTTTGTTGGTGAAAGCTTCAAGAAGTTAAATTAACACGCGACGAATCAGACAAAGCACTGCCTATCTGTTGGCAAGCTAACTTTCTGATTAGGTACCTTAAGAACATATCAACTTTTGGAGAACCATTATGAGTAAAATATCAAAGCTATTAAAGTTTGTGGTCGGTTTTCAATATGCAGTTCCTTATCGGATGTTAAACGGTTCTACAAACCGATAACCATCCAAATAGGGAGCAAATGGTGGATTATATCAAGAAAGCTTGTGATTCAACCAGAGGATTACTTGATCATAAGTGTAAGCACTGTAAAAGCTCTCACCATTGTGATTTGCTTCAAATTTTGATTTAGCTTCATTTATTCGAGTTTCTTACATACTCTTTGATGCAGAACAAAGGAAATGTATGTCTAGGGATATTAGATGGAAGCAGTGTTCATGATGGTTCCACCATTATTCTTGGAGGTAAAACAAACATTTACTGTTTTTTCAAAAGAAAAAACAAACAAACATTTATATGTAAACCCTTTTTTTATCACAATAATCAATCACAAAACTTCCCATCTTGTGTATTTTTATAGACATATCGATGCGTGGACGCCTGATCGTGTACGACAATGTAAAACGGAGAATCGGATGGATGAAATCAGATTGCGTTCGGCCTCACGAGTCTGATCAAAAATTACCTTTCTTTCAAGGATGAAGAAGATCAACCATTCTTACATATGTGTTTTGTGTAAACTTGACACCTACCACGCGAGTGTTGAATAGTAGTCCGTGTAATTAGGTGTAAATCACACACACTAACAGAAAAAAAAAGATTAATCAAGTTTTGATCTCTAACATAATAATTTTATACACCGGAAAAATAAATTCTATAATAATAATCAAAAGGCTCTAACATATCAACTTTTGGGGTTTATTTACTTATTTTAACAAGTTAGGTTTAAAAACAAATATACCTCATTGTTTCCTAGGCTTTTGCCGAGTAGAGATAAGAAAGTTGATGTGTGGCGAGATAATGGATAAGGTGGTTTTGGCGAGACGTTATCCATCGAGGCTATAGAAGAAGAGGAAGAAGCAGGCTCTTGTTGAGTATGAGTTCAAGGATAAGAGGAAGGAGCGAGAGGAGAAGAGGAAGGAGCAGGAACAGAGGAACTAACTTGCAGCTTCATTCCATCGAGAAATACAATAGGGCAGGTGTGATCGTGGTCATGCCTGCCTCGTATTATATAACTTGTGTTGCAGAGGATCCAGCTACTGGTTACCTTGTACCTATTCAGACTAATAGTCACGAAAGAAGAAAGCACGAGCTGTATGTCAGGTTTTATGTTTCTAGACCTAAAAAATACAGGTAATTTTGGTGCATTATTCAGGAGGAATTTTCTTGAAAGTTGTGTGTAGTAGATGCCTTGCGGAGAAATGTATTATGTGTTGTTGATTTATCTATGTACTTCTTGATGTTACTCACCCTAGCTACTTGCTCTCTGCTGTCGAGAACCAGAGAAACAAATTTCTTTGACACTTAGCATTTCATAATCAGTCTGATTTGTGATATCCAACAAAGTACAAAGCTATATCATATATGCATCAATTATCATGTTTCTTGGCTAATTGACATGTTTAGTGTTATGAGTCGAAAAAAGGGAAATTGTACAAACAGGAAACATTTAGAATATATATCCAAGCTTTACTTTACTTTAATTTTATTTTTCAGTTACTTGTAACTATGAGTATAAGTGATATTGTCACTGAACCAAAAAAAAATTGGTACTGTCACTGATCGTGTTTGGAGTTACAAAATCCTGAATTCACAATAATATGTTTAGAGATCAGAAAATTTTCTCGCTTTCAAATTGCAGAAAAACATACAAAATATTTTTATCGTCTCGTTAGTTCGAGACTTAAATGAGTTTTAACTAATAGAGAAAAAAAGTTTGACCATGTAAGAAAATATTTGGAGAACAGAAAAGAAAGAAAACTAGAAATGTTTATTATCTATAGTATACAAAAGAAACAGTTGAAGTGTTAGGCTCCTTTCGTCTCCCTACGTCGGTAAACGGACCAGCGTGCTTAAGACTTAAAGAAAACTGAACCAATAGTGGCTCCCCAATCTCTACACCAGTCAATTAATTAAGCTAAGAAAACTACACCAGACTTGGTAACTGTGATCAAAATCTTTTTACTTTTGAATTCTAATCCGATTTTTTTGGTTGTTTCTTACAACTTTCTACAAGTTATTATAAAGGCATTCTTTTCTACTGTCTTTTCTACCCAACTCCACACGAAGCAAAATCATTCACTCTCTCTGAGTCATTTCCTTTAATTACATGGATTCTGGTTCTTGTCGTGGTCAAAAAACCGAGAATAATGTCAATTTCGAAAGTATGTTTGGTCTCGAAACCGAAGCTGAGCTGCTCAAAAAGCTTCAAGATTGTTTAGAGCCGCTACGTGAGAATCAGATACAAGTCGACAGCTTCACTGTGTCCGATATGCTAAACCTTGGTTACACATCACAGCAAATGGTTAAACATGTCCGAGTCCTAACAACAATCCCTTACAAAGACGTAAGAGATAGCGTTTTGGCCAAGGCAAACTCCTTGGGGATTTGTCCTCTAAACCACGAGATGATTAATCTCAGTCACGTCGTCGAAGTTTGCCGCTGGATGAAAACCGAAACTGGTATTAAAGCTGTTGTGGAGGTGCAGCGTTGCGAGAAGCTGAAGAGGCGAGCAACCGTGAGAGGCTTGACTCTGGCTGAAGCGTCTATGATCCGAGCCATTAACGAGCAGTTCGCTGACTACAGTGAGGCGATGAAGGAAGTTGACCGTAGGAGATTGTTGGAGCCGTATCGGGTAACACGAGAAGAGGAAATTTGTGCCATGCGAGACAAGTACTGGCCAGCTTCTGTATTCCATATTTATAATATTGTAAGTGAAGATTCAGTTCTTGATTTTTGTCGGAAGAAGGAGGGAGTGAGAGGTAAGCTTATTGAGTACATTAAGGAACTTATGGGAGGTGAGAAGAAGATTTATCCGCGACGTAAAGCTGAAGTTCTTCGTGCCGTTCTTGCGGGAATGATAGCTGGTACTGATGTTCAAGCTTCATGTGAGGGTGAAAGTAGTAATTTGAATGGTGAATCTTGCGTGGGTAAGAAGCGAAAAGATGCAATGGCTCTTGATCACGTTGGGTCTAAGACACGTCCTCGTCAGAAGTAGATTTGATTATTTGAGAAGGGTTATGATATCAAGATAATTACTGTGATCATAACCCTCGTCAGGAGTATCATTTAGTTTGTTTTCTTCTCGATCTCTTGTTGTTGTAACGTACGTGTTTTCTTTGTTGTTGCGAGTTACTTAGAAGTTGTAAGCGTGGCACTTGACTTCTTTAATGTTACGAAACTTGTTTTAGCAGTGTTTATAATTTTTAAAAAATTAATTACGTTGTCTCTGTATGTATATACTTGTTTAGCAGGTTTTTTTTTTTTTGACGTAGGTTCTCTTTTAATTTGCATCTATATACAAAAAAGTTGTTACTGCCTTAGTTGCATGTTAACTTTAGTTCTGCTTTAAAAGCCATTGTTTATGATTTTTCGGATATAATACCACATTACCACTATATAATTTTAAAAGTTAAATACATTGGAAAATATTTACGAGCTGGAGTTATTTTATTTTAAAAAAATACAGGAATTTGAAAGAATTTGGAAGAAGTAACACGCATATTTTCGTCTGCCTTCTGGGAAATGAAGAAGCGTGCGTATGGACATAATAATAGTTTTTTGTTTTAAACAGTTTACAAGAAAATTAATAAAAGCAGCAATTGAATGGTCTCTTTCTGATTGATCAATAAAATCCCATAGATGAAAAATTAAGAATGGTCTAGTTAAAAAAAAAAAAAAAAAAAAATCACACTCCTAGTTCCTCTATGTGTCTATACGAAATACGGCACATCACATGCTATAAAAACAACCATATTTGTGAAGGCATGGCATCTGCAAATCGTCAACAAAGCAAGCTCGACGCCAAATTTGAAGCTATGTTCGAAACTGAAGCCGAGAAGTTCCAGAAGCTTCTAGATTGTTTAGAACCGTTACGCGAGAACCAGGTACAAGTCGACAGCTTTACCCTTTCCGATTTGACCAGCTTCTTTTTGTTTACAACCCAAATGGCTAAACACGTCCGAGTCCTAACAACGATCCCTTACAAAGACGTACGAGATAGCGTGTTGTCCAAGGCAAACTCCTTAGGGATCTGTCCTCTTAGCCACGAGATGAATCTACTTCACATCTACGAAGTTTGCCGTTGGATGAAAACCAAAGACGGTACTGCAGCTGTTGTGGAAGTGCAACGTACCGAGAAGCTAAAGAGACGAGCCACCTCAAAAGGAAGGACGGTGGCTGAATCGGCTATGATCAGAGCGTTCAACGCTCAGTTCGCCGAGTATAGCTCTGAGCTAAAGAAAGGTCTTCCGGTCACCGAGTATACTAGTGTTCATCTCCGAGACAAGTACTGGCCAGTTTCTGCATTTGATGGAGCCAATGATATTGTGCATGAACAAGCAGTTCTTGATTTTTGTAATAGAGAAGGCGTGAAGTTTGGTTTGTACAAGTATGTGGAAGGATTGATTGAGCGTAAGATGATGAGTTTTGCTGTACGCGAAGCGGATAATCTTCGGGCTGTTCTTAAGGAAATGGAATGTTTTGAAGTTCCGGTCTCGTCTAAGGATGGAAATTGTCGTGTTGGTGAGAAGAGGAAAGATGTTTGCTCGCTGCTTGGTCATGGTGGAGGAACATCGTCTAAGAGGAAGATTTAAAACGTCGACTCTTACTCGTAAGAAGTAGATCTGACTTTGAGTCTAGAGTTGGAGAATGGTTTTACTACATCAGATCATGAATGGGTTTTATTTTTTGTCTATCAAGAGTCTCTTTGTTAACGGGTCTCTTAATTTGAATCTTTCTCTTTGTCTTAGTTCTTATTTTGCATATGTCATTGGCTTCTTAAAAAGCCTCTCTGCTTTGGGAGTAGAGTTTGCATTTGTTGTTTTTACTGTTTCAGAACTAGAGTTTGCATTTACTGTTGTCCTCACCCGTTTCTTTGAAGTGCCTCTCTGCTTTTGCATTTCCTCGAGCCGCAGTTGCAAAAACCTTCCGACTCGTCATACCATGGTTTCTCTCTTTTCTTGCACTTGATTTGTATCCTTGCCCTATAAGATGATGAAGTTGAAGAATAACCATAACTCTTTTTCTGTTTATCTTCTTTTAATTTTTTTTATTATACATGATTTGCTTAGAATGATCAGATAATATAGACACCAAGCATCTAAAGCCAACTTAAACACGCCTTCCCCGCCTTCATCAAACTTGTTCTTGTCCGGAGATGAAGCAAAAATGCTAACTTCTTTGTAATGTTTCTCACGGTTTCATAATCAGTTAAAGGATCTACACCGAGGATTCCATACTAATCATATTCTTCCTCCTCCTCCGTGGTCCTTGTTTCATGCAGAGATATAAACATCAATCATCATCAAAACTTGTTTCAGACCATCGAGCTTTGGATACAAATTCTGAGCCTTGCTAACCGATTTCTTCGCCCTAATTGTTCTCTAAAAGTTTTCTCTCTGCAAAATCATTGCTCTTCTAGCTTCTTCCTTTACCTTCCATGTCCTTAATTAAGAAAGTTTATTTCTCTAACGAAACAATCGAGTAACAGAAGACAAATATAGGTTTAGAAGACAACCAAAATCCGTAGATGATGATTTAGTAAGAAGAGAGGAGAAGAATACGACTTACAATAACACCGCTAGGTTAATGAATAATTAATATGTACGTAGATGATGATTTTCCTTTTACGAAAATGCAAATTGATTGTTTTCCTTACAAAGCAAATTGTCAGACCATCGATTGATTCTCTACCATAGCATCATTACTCTTAGCATTGCAATATTTGTATTTCTCAGAAATCCTGAGAAGAGAGAGAGAGGAGAAAGAATCCTTGCTGGAAAAGCTAAATGACTGCTTGAAAGAAGCTGAACTAGAGGATAATGAACTTAAATCTTCATTTGATACCTTACATGGTATGTCAGTGATAAGTTTATTTTACTAATTCCACTGTTGATTTTCCAGAATCGTAGTTTAGATTCGTATGCTTTTGACTATCTTATTACATTAAATGGATCAGACAAACCAATATCTCTCTTGCTTGTGCAATTTTAAGTGGATTCAAGGAAGAGGATTTCAGAGGTATTTTTTGCTTCAAGCATCTTAATCATTTTCATTAACTATAGATGTTCTTCTAAACTGCAAAAGCATTGGCGCAAACAGAAAGTTCATAAGATAAGTCTCTTATTATAATAACCAAATGCTTTTTGCTTTAAAAGATAATGGTTTTATTAGAGAAATGTACACTAACTATAAACCACGCAAATAAACAATAAACGCTATACGTACGTAAAACCACGCTCATACCAATGATCCAAGACATAACTGATTCTCTGTCTCAGTTTGTGGATTACAGAGTTTTCTTTTACCCGAGACCAGGAAATATATAATAGCAAAGAAAGCTATTTCCTTCGTGAATCTTTTTTCTAGGTTGTATTCTATATTGTGACAACTTGGTTAGATGCCCTTGCTGAGGCTGATAAGTTATTGTAATGAATGATTTGTTGGTAAACCGAGGTATGGGTAGACCGAGAAGATCGTAGAGCGAATGAAATTATTTCTTTGAGAGAGATTTTTGCAAAAACATTTTTTGAGAGAGTTATACGTGTATTTCTTGATAAGTAGTTGGCGTGTTAATGAAGCAACAACTATATAATTTGATTATAGATCGTGCTTTGTAAGCAGCTAAAGTTTGAGTTTTTTTTTTTTAAGATTCCAAAAATGATAACACTAGTGAGTGTGATAATCTGTAACATCTAATAAAATTCTCAAAAAGATTATGACTCAACAATATTTATTACCTTGGAATGACCTTTTCTTCATCACAAGACGATTTGAGTTACACAAACTAATCCTAGTTGAGACTAAATCTGTTGATGATTATTGAAGTAATCAGAACTTTAGGCAGAGATAATATTTAGGGGCGAAGTAAGATCTTATCGAAACTGCAATAATTTACAAATTGTATCAACACAAGACCAACGCATCTAAAGTTACAGTTTACAAAATCTCAACAAAAAAAACATCAATATACCGTTTTCTTCGAGCCTAAAAATCATCATGGTTCGATTCCATCCCCTAAGGTAATACACAAGATCTGATCAGAAATTCTAACATATTCGTTCGAGAAACAGAGATTAAAGAGTGAGTAAGAAGAAGAACAAATAAAGAAGCCATGAGGAGCAGAAGAGCTTACTTTGATGGTGGTTTCGTCCATGGAGAATTTCAGAGAGCCGTGCCCAGGTTGTCGAGAATTTTTTTTCACTTTTTTTAGGGATTCAGGAAGAAAGTGGATGATCGCGATACTAGATGTTGTCTTATATAATAAGAATTAAAGTAGTATATGATAATTTAATCAAGACATATCATGCCTGCATATGCGTGCAAGCCAAGTCAAAGTTAATTGAAAAAAGTTTAACCAAATCATAATCTTACTCATAAAATGTAATGTGACTAAAAAAAATATATACCTCATTTTGACCTAGGTTTTTTTCTACGTGAAATTAACGTCGATAGTCTGGGGCCTTTTTTGCAATTTTTCTTTACATATTCGCGTGAACGAAGCTGAATCGATTAAAAGCTTCAGCCGCTTGCCGAGCAGAGCAAAGAAAGTTGGTGTGAATAAAATGGGTAAGGTAGTTTTGGCGAGACATTAACCATCGAGGCTAGGGAAGAAGAGAAAGAATAGGTAGAGACGAAGAGGAAGAAGCGGGCTCTTCCTGAGTATGAGTTCAAGGAAAAGAGGAAGGAGCGAGAGGAGAAGAGGAAGAAGAGGAAGGAGCTGTGTCCTCTGGGGTGGAATTATCATCGTTCGTATTGACTTCGAGTGTGGGAATCCGATGTAAGTCTCTCGTTTTCTAGGGTTTAGTTCTTCTTATTTGGGAACAAAACATTCCGTACATAAGCTCAAGGCCTAGCTTATACAATAGATGTGTCTTAGGGGCTCGATGTCGACGGTTTAGTGATTCCTTCCCCTGAGCGAATGGTAGTTTTCAAGTGCGAGAAACCGAATGATTGTCCCCTTATAGTGCGCCTTTATGCTAAGATGGGCCTTCATCGTTACAATATGCTTCAGGTAAACACTAGTTAATTCAACTCTTCAACTCTAATTCTTGATTATGTTATCTTCTAGTCCCTTTATTCAAAACTCGATATGTGTCAGGGAACCAACTTGCAGCTTTATTCCGTAGAGAAATACAATAAGAAAGGTGGGAGCCTGGTCCTGCCTGCTTCCTTTTATATAACTTGTGTTGCAGAGGATCCAGCTACCGGTTCCCTTGTGCATTTTCAGACTAGTAGTCACGAACTAACAAAGCACGACCTGTATGTCAGGTTTTATGTTGTTAGGCCTAAAAATACAGGTAATTCTGGCGCATTATTCAGGAGGAGTTTTTCTTGAAAGTTGTGTGTAGTAGATGCCTTGCGGATTGATGCATTATGTGTTGTTGATTCATCTATGTAGGGACCGTGGGTACGCTTTGGAATGATCAAACTGCACCTCAGTTCTACCATGTTAATCAGCGTGCATAAATGGCCATCAGAGGATGATAAAAAAACAATTTTACGTGGTGCAGGCATCAGAGTTGATAGAAAAAATGACTGGATTCGTCACTACCCAATCGTCAGAAACGCAAAGTATTGTTTTTCTTCCTTTCTTTCCTTTATATATTAGCAATGGTGCGTTCGTTTATATAATCTTGAGTTTCCAAACTTTCGGTTGTTGCAGTTGCAACACAAGTTGTCTGATTTAAAGATTGTGGAGGTGATGGTAGAAACTAAGGGAAAGGATGCTAAACTCAAGGGGTTTATAGATGCAACTGTATACATTAAGTACCATCAGGACTTGCGCGATGGTAGGGTTTGTAAGCGCAGAGCTATCTTAGCAGATTCGTGGATTTGAGAACGGAACACATGTGTCTCAAGGGCGATGACTATCTGGAAAGCAAGACTGACTCTGAGCATGAAGCTTCCAATAACTAGCAAGACAAGATCCATTTGAAATTTGTGGATCAAATCTGTGATTAAAAAAGCATGCCTCAAGCGCTTAGGCGCTACAAGAGTCGCCTTATAAGAAAATGTAATTTTCTTCAATTATACTTGTTGCCAATTTTGTTTTTTGAGTTTTTAGTAAGCTGTTGCGTGATTCTGTGATTCTCTGTGCCATATATTCTTGAATGCATTAAATTTTGTTTCCAATTTCCTAAATATTTGTGTACTCAAAGAGTGGCCTCAACTCTCCATCACCGTCTCTTTTAAGTTCAAACTTCATTCTTCCTTTTCTTTCAACTTTTCAAAGTCTCTTCTTTACTATCTCCTCTTCCTTCTCTTTTTTCACCATGTCTGATCCAGTAGATGGTAGGGTCGTCGATCCAAGAAGGAAATATGCAGTTCCTAGAACTGTTTATGGTAGTTTCACGTGTAACTTTTGTAGTAAAGTGATGAACTGTGGAGTTCTATGTGTGAAACAACACTTAGCCGGCGGTTTCACGGTTGTGACTGCATATCCTAAAGTTCCAGATCACGTGAAGGAAGAGATGAGACTTTTTAGGGCTAAAAAAGCTGAGACAATGGCCACAACTCGGATGATGCAATCACCATCAATCCCTCAACAAAACGATGGTACACACTATGAGGAAGAAGATCCCATTCAGCCTAGTACTGGTCAGGGAAGTCGTCATAATCTGAAAAAACGTAAAGGTCCAATGGACAGGTATGTTGCTCCAAATCCTCCTGATATTCTTAAAGGAAGAAAGGACAGAAAAGATATCTTTGGAGTTTGTGATAAAGAGCTTAGGGACAATACCATCGCTCATCAATGATCTGAAACGCTTGCTCGTATTCCTCATTCTATTTGGTTAAAAGTATTAGCAATGGCTTCTTTAGCCCTATCCATGGCTTCATAGATATATCTCATCGGTGGTTTCTTCTCTCCATCCACCAAATGTAAGTCACTCGAGCT